GACTCTGGGGCAATTTCAAGCGTACCAACATTTGCATAATGGGCGTGCCAGAAGAAGAGAGAGAGCAAGGAATTGAAAACATATTTGAAAAAATAATGATGGAAATATTTCCTAACCTGGTGAAGGAAACAGACATACAAATCCAGGAAGCACAGAAAGTCCCAAACAAGATGAACCCAAAGAGACACCAAGACACATAATTAAAATGCCAAAGGTAAAAGACAAAGAGAGACTCATTTTTTTAAAACATTTTTTAAATTTATTTTTTAGAGAAAGGAAGGGAGAGAGAGAGAGAGAGAGAGAGAAACACTGATTGGCCACCTCCTGCACTCTCCCCACTGGGGATTGAGCTCGCAACCTGGGCACATGCCCGGACTGGGAATCGAACCGGGACCTCTCAGTCCATGGGATGATGCTCAATGCACTAAGCCACACTGGCTGGGACAAAGAGAGAATCTTAAATGCAGCAAAAGAAAAGCAGTTAGTTACCTACGAGGGGGATCCCATAAGACAGTCAACTGATTTCTCAACAGAAACATTTCAGGCCAGAAGGGAGTGGCAAAAAATATTCAAAGTGATGTAAAGCAAGGACCTACCAAGAGTATCTACCCAGCAAAGCTATCATTTGGAATTGAAGGTCATATAAAGAGCTTCCCAGACAAGAAAAAGCTAAAGGAGTTCATCACCACCAAAACCAGTATTACATGAAATGTTAAAGCAGCTGTTCTCGGCCTGTGGGTTGCGACCCTTTTGGGGGTCAAATGACCCTTTCACAGTGGTCACCAAACACCATCGGAAAACACATATTTCCAATGGCAATTCATAACAGTAGCAAAATTAGTTATGAAGTAGCAACGAAAATAATTTTATGGTTGGGGGTCACCACAACATGAGGAACTGTATTAAAGGGTCTCAGCATTAGGAAGGTTGAGAACCACTGTGTTAAAGGGTCTTCTTGAAGAAGAAAAAGAAAAAAAATATAAACAATAAAATGGCAATAAATGCCTATCAACAATTGAATCTTAAAAACAAAATAGACGAACAAACAGAACAGAAACAGACTCACAGATACAGAGAACATTTTGACAGTTGCCAGATGGGAGGGGGTTTGGGGGATGGGTGAAAAATGTGAAGGATAAGAAGTACAAATTAGCAGTAACAGAATAGTCATGGAGATATAAAGTACAGCATAGGAAATATAGTCAATAATATTACAATAACTATGTATGGGGTCAGATGGGTATCAGGATGATCACTTAGTTATATAATGTCTAATCACTGGGTTGTACATCTGAAATAATATATTATTGATGTCAATTGTAATTGAAAAATAAAAAATTATACAAAGTAAAAAAAAAAAATATTATTCATAAAAGACTACCATGTTCTGTAAATATGAAATGCACATCTCTTTTGATGTCAGGAACTTTTTTTTTAAATCCTTACCTTTGGATGTTTAATGATTTTAGAGAAGAGAGGGAGACAGAGAGAGAGAGAGAGAGAAACATCGATCAATTGCCTCCCATACGCACCCCAACCAGGGATCGAACCTATAATCTAGGTATGTGCTCTGACCTGGAATCAAACCCGTAACCTTTTTGGTGCATGGGTGATGCTCCAACAAACTGAGCCACCCAGCCGGGGCAAGATCAAGGACTTCTTACACATCTTTGTCATTTCCCTCCACACCAACTCTGGCCTCTTCCCCAAACATATCTCTAATAAGCCTTGCCAATACTTGGCAATTAGTAAACAACCGTCAACAGCATGAAGATGCCATTCCTAAAAGGCCACATCAAGATTTCTGCCAAAGAATCATTCTACTTATTAATGAACAACAACTACATTAAGTCCAATACTCTATAAGCTTTCATTTTAATTATTTGACTTATATCCATTTTTATCCATCTTGTTCAAACTAACTTCAAGTCATCTTTGCAATATTCACATTAGATGTCTTTCCTTTATGCCTTCTAAGTATGTGTGCACATAATTCTCTTGAAGTCCCAAACATACTGCCTGGAACCTTGTTAGTGTTTTCACTGGGCCATAAACTCCTCAAAGGCAGGCATGCATCTAACATATTTTTATGTCTCTGAGAAGGCACAATCCTTGGCTCAGTATCTGTCTGCTAAAGGGAATCAACTCTGTGCATTAGTGTAACAGTTTGCAGTTGTTCTGACACATAATTATCGTAAAGTCATGATTTATCTTAAAGCTACAATATAATATTGATATAAATCCAAAATATCTTACACTGGATTTTAGCAACAGATTTAAGAAAAACTGGAGAAATTCTTCCTGAGACTATCACAATTCAATTTTAGAAGCAGCCATCTCTATAGATTTTTCTAACACCAGTATTATATAGGAGCACTGAGAACCACTGGCTATAGTCGTTACTGGCTCTAGCCCCATTTTGACAAAATACCAAAAACCTAAGTCTGCGCTGCCTTCAAGGTTTTGTGTAACAGTTCAAATTCATGTTTGTCAGACTTGGTTCCTCTTCTGACTTAATTACATTCATTTTATTTTAATTCTATTCCATTCTCAAAAAGTCATGATACACTTGTACCCTTATCCCCAGTTGGGCCAAGTTCTGTGAGGGTCATTTTTTTCCCCATCTTTGCAGTCATCACTATATTGGCCCTTATATTTCTACTTGCACTAGTCCAACAGTCCAATTGGATTATCTGTTTACAGTTCTTACTCTGTTTAATGCATCAGTCACAACGCTACCAAATTACTCTCCCTTTAAGTCAGTGATTCAAAAAGTTGGTCATCCTCTCTCCCCCACAACACATGGCAATATCTGGCGACATTTTTGGTTATCACAACTGGGGTGGGGGGTGTTACTGGAATCTACTGGGTAGAGGCCAAGAATGCTGCTAAATATCCTATAATGCACAGGGCAGCCCCTCCCACAACAAAGAATGATTGAGCCATATAGCACCTTGATACCTTGGGCCAGTCATTTAAATTCTTTGAGCATCAGTTTCCTCACTGGTACAAAGGGGTTAAAGTAGGTTAAAGTACCTCTTTAAAAGGCTACCAGGGGGATTATGTGAGCCACTATATAGAGAACACCGAGCACTATGCCTAAGCACTGGGTACTTTCACATATTTTTTAAAAAATTGCTGTTACTATTGTCATTTTTCTCAAACAGAATTATTCTCATGGCAAAAAGACTAGAATGGACACTGACAATGGGAACAAAAGCTCGCAAGAAGAGTATTTAAAATAATAGGTGTTTTTCTGGGCCTGGATAAACTGTATGTCAGTAATATAAGAAAGCAAGGTTGCTGATCCATGGTTGGAACACATGCTTGGAAAAATGTTAGTGTCATTATCAAAAAATGTAGTGAACTGATTTAAAAAATTATAGGCTGATGAGCCCGCATTTGGAAAGAAAACGGCTACATTAAGATGTTGTAGGCTGAGAAGAGATTGCAAGGATCCAGAATCGGAGAATCCAGACACACTAAACTCTTCTGGGCCAGAACTACCAAACTTGGGGAACACTACTGATAAAATGTATCTGGAATGCTATGTGAGTGAAATCAGGACTCTTCCTTCATGAGTCTTGTGGAAACATGGCTTGGGTATAATGGTAATTGGATAGATTTGTAATCATTGGAATAACTGCACCAAAAGTGGTGCCTTGCCCAATACTCTAAATGGACACCTGCTCCATTTCTGCTCCAAAACCAATTCCTTTCTGTTGCAACTGAGGAATTTTCTCTCTACTATCCGAGGCCAACCCCTCCACAGGTATCCTGGGCCCTCCTCTGTCAGTTACCTCTTCAATAACCCAAATCTCGACTAGACCCCCTTTCCGACTTCAAATGTCTCACCATCGTCCATCCTACTGCCCCCACAGTTTCTGCCCATGTCTCAGCACCTCCCACACCCTTCCAGTCGACCTTCTTGAAGAGCTGTTCTAACAATGTCCACTTCCTCACCTCTCAAATGACTTTGTTCCTTTCACTCTGCTAAAATAGGACAAATGCAAAGACACTTTTCTGTCTTCATTTTACTGTCAGGTTCTGAACTTGCATTCAGAAAGCCAGAACAGAATGACAAACAAAAGTACAGGAAAAAGGGTACCTGACTTGCAGCAGCAGAAACTTTTAAAAAGATTTTAATAACAGTAAGTTCAGAATGAGTCATGACCTTGGAAGAACAGAAATACATTCACTCTGCTGTGTACTGGTCAAAAAGCACATGGATTCAGTTCTGAAGATAGCTACAATATAATACAAAATAATTTAAATAACTACAAAAGAATACAAAATAATTTAAATTATCATTACTGCTTGAAGATGCCACCTGTTGCCTGGGGAATACGTCTATGTAGGAAGGCTCACCTGGCAAAGAGCAAGCTCTTTTCTTGAATGAACACAGCTTTTAAAACTTCGTCTCAACTCAAGACTAAACAAATCTGATTGGCAGTCACGCCAGTATCATAACCTTACATTTAGTAAGTGAAACAACATACCCACATTTAACAGGCTTGCTGACTCAGTTAAACCCGATTTTCTGCCTCAGAGTTTAGAATGTTCATACATCTTAAGAGTCAAAAAGCCAGAGCCACCCCCTGAGTCCGGCGCAGGGCCAGCCAGACCCTCCAGCGCTCTGGGAGACGCCGAGCGCATAAAGACCCATGCGGAGCAACCGTGAGACTTTCCAGGTCTGAACCACGCTCCTGCCCCCACGGTGGGGTTCGATGTCTTTCGTTCTCCCCATTGCTCTCAAGAGAAGAGCCCAAGGCGAAAATATAATCTGGTCGGTAGGCCGGTGTCCCGCCAACAGCACCCCGGGGAGCACCCCGAGCAAACCGAGCGCTTCCCCAGCCGTTAGTTCCGGAGGCTGTCCGTCCCAGGCCGTCCAAGGCGCACCCCCATCCCCTCGGGGAGCCAGTGGGAGAACGCAAGTCCATCGACCAGGACCGCGCTGCAAAGACGCCCCGGCCACCGCCCCGTCCCCAGCCCCGGCTCACCCGCGTGCGACATGGCCGCGGTGAGGTTCCCGTACTGCTCCTCGTTGTAGATCACCACGGCCGAGGCGTTCCTCCGCGCCGCCGCCAGCACCTTGTCCTTGAAGGTGCAGCCCCCGCGCGCCACCAGGGCGACCCAGGGCACGGCTCCGCGGCCGCCGGCCGGGGGCACGACGAAGCGCGTGTCGGGCGCGCAGCCCTTGGGGTCTCCGTCCACGGCGCGCGGGACGCCCACCAGGCCTAGCGCGCCCTCCTTGGGCGAGCTGTCGCCGAAGCGGCCGCTCTCCGAGACGCTGTACACCGTGCGGTTTGTCTGCTGGTCCACGTACTCGAGGCTGACCACGGCCGAGTACCACTCGAGAGCCCGGCCCCGGGCCCCGGGCGCGCACAAGGCCAGCGCCAGCAGCACCAGCGCGCCGCGGGCCCCGCAGCCAGCCTCGGGCCGCCGCCGCGCCATGGCCCCACCACCCGGCTGCCGAGGCGCGGGCCGGCCGGGCTGGGCGACACGCAGGGACCTGCGGGAGGCGAGCGCCGGGGAAGCTGAGGAGCTGGGTGAAGCGAAGGTCCACCGCCGCCCGGGAAGAGCGCAGCGGCACGGCGGGCGGGGCCGCGGCGCACGCGCACCTGGTGGAGCGCGGGGGGCGGGGCCGCGGGGGGCGGGGCCGCGGGGGCGGGGCCGCGGGGGCGGGGCCGCGGGGGCGGGGCCTGGTCGCTCTGGGGCGGGCGGGCGATGAGGTGCTCGCCGGCGCGAACGCGCTGCTACCTGGAGGGGCGGCTGGTGACCCGCGGTCCTGCGGTCCCGAGACCCCCAGGCCCCCGCGGGCGGAGGAGCCGGTGCGGGCAGCCCACGCTCCGACTTCCGTCTTGGCGGCCCGTAGCCACCGGTCGACCTTGTGCAAGAGGACTCCTGGCGCCCCGGAAGCCGAGGGGGAGTGACCGCCGAGAAACGGGAAGCTTCTCCGCGAGGCGTGGGTGCGGGATTGTGTAAGATCTTGCTCAGATCACCCAACCGGATGTTTATGAAGGCTTGCCTGTGGCCAAGGACTTGCTTGTCTAAAACGTTTAAAAATCCACTTAAAAATTTAAAGGTACACACGTTTTGCAATGTTGTAATGCTAATTGATTCCTTAAGGCTTTTCTCAAGTATTATACTGACAGGAACCCTTTTTACTATGTTTTTTTAAGATACATATAATCTGTAGTTTGGAAATAAGTCCATCAAACTTAAATTGTACAGTAATAAATAAAAAGAAGAAATTGTTTAAGTTAATAAACAAGCCTTACTGCTGCAGTGCAAGAAGCGAAGGCAGCCTCTCTCCTCCTCCTCCTCTGTACAGGACATGTGGTCGGGGTGGGCTGTTACTTCATCGTGTCTTTTTCTTGGGCCTCAAACCCTCTCGCATTTCCTGTTCGCTATCAGTCTGTCTTGGACTGCATTTTAAAACTGCTCCAAAACGCAGCCTGGCCCACGACCCCTACGTTTTCCTTGAAGTTGAAATCTTCCCTCCCTTTCTCATCAGGAAATTGGTTTTAAAAGGCTGAAAGTATCCCAAACCTAGAACGAGGGAGATCAAGTATGGCGGGGGTAGCAGGTTAGGAGCAGGCCCTGGGACCCCCACATTGTGTTCCAGCAAAACAAAATACTTGTAGTTCCCAGAACAAGATTTGCAGTTTCATGCTGTTTTACAAATTCCTTTACTACTTCCTGAAATCCTGCTCCTGGCTCTTGTCCCGGCAAACGCCAACTGAATCTTCACATGCATGCCCCCCTCCCCAAATTTTGTCTTTATTTATTGATTTTTAGAGAGCAAGGTTGAGAGAGAGAGAGATTTGTTGTTCCACTTATCCATGCCTTCACTGGTTGATTCTTGTATGTGTCCTGACCAGGGATTGAACCCACAATCCTGGTGTATGGGGATGATGCTCTAACCAACTGAGCTACCTGGCCAAGGAAGTCTTCAAGTTTTAACTCAAAAGTTATTTCTTCTATGAGACTGCTCCCTGGTTCTTAAAAGCAAACTTAGGGGCTCCTTCTATTTTCTTTATTGATTTCAGAGAGGAAGGGAGAGGGAGACAGAAACATCGACTGGATTCCATCTTTGCTGTTTTTTATGAGTCTACTTCATGAAAAAAGCAAAATAGCTCTTTTGACTGTTTCAGAGTCAAGGACTCATGATCGTTGACAAACATGTTGCTCAGTGAAGTCCAACAGGCTAATAGGAACAGGCCTTACAGCTGTTGAGCCCCTAGACCCACCCCAGCTTCTTGGTTTTTATTTTTAATTACCAACTCTAGGCCTCAGCTGGTTCTCCCCAGGTCCAAAGCTATCACCACTGACTCAAACTGGTAGGGCTTTCATCCCCTACACTAGCTCCCAAGTGCCACTCAGTCTCTTCAGTTCCCCTTCTCTACTGTCCCAAAAGAAAAACTGACAGTCCTCACCCCACCACTCTTTATGCAGGCGGCGGGGTGGTAAAGTGAGGCTGGTGTCATTATCTAATTTAAATAGTTTTATAATGGAGAATATCGGAGAATATCAACTGTTCCCCAAAGCAGAGACTTGTATAATGAAGCTCTATGCACTTATAACTTAGATTCAATAATGATCAACTCATGGCTAATTTCATTTTTAGTAGATGCCCAGTCACTTCCACTTGCCCCTATTGCATTATTTCGAAGTAAATCCCAGACATTGAGGGGACACAGAGTTTGCTATCCCAAAATATGCCTTTTGGGGATATTGATTATTTTAAGCTGGTTATTTTTAAGATACAAAAGACTCAGAAAGTTTGTCCCTCCCCCTTTCCTGCCTAAAGATATTCAGACAGAAAAACCTGCTTCAGGAAGGGAACCTTAGCATACTCACTTTAGCATGTAAGAATTAAGTGTGGTAGATGGGAGAATCCACGCAAGTCTCTTGTTAGAACTCCCACTGTGACCTGTTGTTTCTGGGTGGCCTGGCAAGAATTTGTTTGCCCTTTCTCATCTATCCGTGAATTACCTACTACACCTACCTACTACACCGTTGAAATCCCAGACCCCTCTGTCCCTCTCCTTTGTCCAGAATAGCATATAAATCTCAACTGTCCAACATGTCCTGGGTCCCACATTCTTATGGAACCCTCATGTATACATACACAATATATTTGGTAACTTTCTCCTGTTAATCTGTCTCATGTTAATTTTTTTTTTTTCATCCTCACCAGAGGACATTTTTCCATCTTTTGCACTGATAGAGTGGGAGGGAGAGAGAGGAAGAGAGAGAGAGAGAGAAACATCGACGTGAAAGGGACACATCCGAGTGGCTGCCACCCGCACGACCAACCAGGGCCGGGGACAAACTGCAACCGAGGTACATGCCCTTAGTGGGAACCGAACCCGTGTCTCTCTGGACCGCAGGCCGACGCTCTAACCGCTGAGCCAAACCGGCCAGGGCTGTCTCATGTTAATTTGATCATTAGTCCAGCCAGAAGAATTTTGAAAAGAGGAAAACTATCTGCCCACACAGCATATCATCTTACCTATAAACATTTTAATATTTAAAAACAAAAACATAATCACAATATTATCACATTTTTTAAAAAGCAAAAGCAAAATTATAATCACAAAAAAATTGTCCCTAGTTCTGTTGGTGGAAGTGTCCTTTCATAGAGCCAAAAAAAAAAAAAAGCTTTTCTGGGAACCCACGCATGGGAGGATGAGGTTTAGTGGTAAGATTTACCAGGATTGAAACAAATGACTGTCCCCAGGTTCCTGATGTCTCATCTCTATTTGTCCTGCTACGGAAAAAGTCCAGCCTTGTCTTCATCAGGACCAGAAACGGCCAGTGTCCAGAAATTCTGTGCCATTGGCTCAGCGCAGTTCGGCCTCTGTTCCCAGAATAGCTTAGCGTCTGTGTCCGGCTGTGCTTTGGCGGGCGCTGAGCCCGGCAGCTCCTGGGGCCCACCTGGTCTGCCGCGCCCAGGTGGCTGCTGAGGCCGCATGGCTGCTCTGGAGAGAAGGTGCGAATGAACAGGGGGCACGCGTTGGGGAAGGCAGGGAGGAAGACGGGGCATTTATATTCCCTCCGCTGGGAAGGACTCGGCCCTTTTTGAACCAATTTCCCACTCCTTCAGGGGTTTACTTGCCTTGCGCTGGGCCCTAGGCCCTAGCCAATCCAGTTCCTCGGTTTTCCAGGGTCTGGGCCCTAGTCCAATCCAGGCCTTTCCCCAGGCTAGGCTTCACCTCTGATGGCGCCATCTTAGTTGCTACTGAGCATGCGTCGGGTGCAAGTGCCTGCCCTGCGCCATCTTGGCTGCTGCAGGCACGTGCCCTGCAGAGGACTGCCTCCTATTGCTTTTATTCCTTTCTTGGTAGTAATGAGTAAGGATCCTTCCTGCCCACTTCCTGCCTGGAGATTAGGTCCCTGGGCAGAGGGTGCGTGGGTCCCCTGGGGATTGTAGAAGCTGTAGCTTCCTCATGATGCAGGCTTATTGTCCGACTCAGCTCCCTGGTTCGTTTTGCTCAGTATTGTCTCATCCCTTTTGCTCCCTTCCTTTATTAATATCCAGCTACCTACACTAATACCCTCAAATATCCAGCTGGTGCAGGGGTTCTCCATAGTCACCTGAATGTTATTTTACATTTAGTTTATTTAGATCAAGATGAAAAATCTCATGCATTGCATTTTGTTGAAATGTCTCTCATGTTTTCTTTATTAATACTTTTTTTTCCCATTTTTTTTTTTTGAAGAAATTGGATAATTTGTCCTGTATGATTTTCCACTTTCCTTTTTGGCTGATTATATTGGCTGATGACAGTTGAGCATACTCCTCTGTCCCCTGTATTTTCTGTAACTGGTAGTTAGGTTAAGAGGTCTGATCTGATCCAGCTGTAGATTTTTGGGCAAGAATACTTCATAGGTGGTGCTGAGCTCTTCCATCTGAGAACACATTATGTTGGGGTATCTTTCTGTTTTGTAATGTTAGTGGCTGACCTGGGCCCCTTGGCTAAGGCACTAAATGACTCCATTTTTTATCATCAATGGACCTTCCTTGATATTTTTCCAATAATAGCTTAATTACCCCTAGAAGTAAAGGAATTTTGCCTAAGATTATCATTGCTGCAGGTGTTGGGAGGTATTTGCAGTTTCCAAGTAAACTTCCCGGTGAATAATGCTAATTTTGACTTCTGTAATCACTGTCCTAGCCACTATTGTACCAGTACCCTGAGCTGGGGGGGGGGGGGGGGGGTGCTGCCAAGGGCGATGGGGCTTCTGTCTTTAAAAGCGGACAAGCAATAAGAATCAGGGCTGAGGATCAGGGGAAGCTGTACCCCCCCCCCCCCAAGCCGGCTAGTGTAATGAAGTGCTCCTTTACAATTTGTGCATCTCTGTTTATCTCCCTGACATGTTACAACGTGGCCACTAACGGTTATTACCTAGATCTAGTATTTTATTAAGGGTTTACAAAGTGGTGATATTCTAATTATATCATTCCTTCTTCATTTTTACCCGGAATACTTCTGTAAAAGGAAACTACCCCTCAACAAATAGGGGTTACCCTGATGTACAATTTGTACAGAAGAGTAAGGTTAAATG